TTGGGGTGCACAGCGGAGATATGGGTTGTGATGAGACACTTCGAGTTTGATTCAGGTTGATTCTGCCTGACGTGGATGCTAGTCTCATAGGTTAAGCCATGCATGTGCAAGCGAAGCCGGTGGTGGAGCGGCGCAAGGCTCAGTAACGGGCGACTGATTTGATCTCCCGGTGTGGACAACCTCTGTAACCGGAGGCCAAAACACAGGAGGCGCGTGACACGGGCACGGGCGTGCAACCGGCAGGTGCGGGAGAGTAAGGAGCCATCCCATCAGTTAGTAAGTAGGGTAAGGGCCTACTTAGACGAAGACGGGTACGGGGAATTAGAGTTCGATTCCGGAGAGGGAGCCTGAGAGACGGCTACCAGGTCCAAGGACAGCAGCAGGCGCGGAAATTACCGAAGCCCGCGTTCGGGGCGGTAGTAAGGAGACGTGAATACGATGTGCAGGTAAAATATGCACTGGTAACAGGAGGTCAAGACTGGTGCCAGCATCCGCGGTAATACCAGCTCCTGGAGTGTCTATGATGATTGTTGCAGTTAAAGAGTTCGTAGTCGGGCTGCATGACCGGCGCTGAAGGCTCCCTATCGAGGGGGGCAGGGCGCCGGAAAAGCAGAGGATGAGGAGCGGCCGGGGGCCAGGTTATTAAGCGACGAGAGGTGAAATTTGATGACTCGCTTAGGAGCAGCAGAGGCGAAAGCGCTGGCCAGGGGCGAATCCGATGATAAAGGACGTAGGCTAGAGGATCGAAGACGATTAGAGACCGTTGTAGTTCTAGCAGTAAACGATGCCGATGCCGTGGGGCGGTGCAGCCGCCACGCGGAGGAGAAATTGAGTAGGGCCCTGGGGAGAGTACACGCGCAAGCGAGAAATTTAAAGGAAATTGACGGAAGAACACCACAAGGAGTGGAGTGTGCGGCTTAATTTGACTCAACGCGGGACAGCTTACCAGGCCCGACGGTCGCACGAGTGTGGTACACGATAGGCCGGAGAGTGGTGCATGGCCGTTAACGACAAGTGGGGTGACCTTTGGGTTAAGTCCGGGAAGTAGTGAGACCCCTGCCGGCGCGCCGGGACAGGTGCTCAAAGCACAGGAAGGAAGGGTCAAGAACAGGTCAGTGATGCCCTTAGATGGTCTGGGCTGCACGCGCACTACAGTGGTCGCAGAAATCAGTGCCCGAGCGGCAATGGCGATCGAGAGGGAACGAGCTCTGGAAGGGGCTCGGGAACGAGGAATTGCTAGTAATCGTGGGCTCATTAAGACACGGTGAATACGTCCCTGTTCTTTGTACACACCGCCCGTCGTTATCGAAGATGGAGTCAGGCGCGAACAAGCGAGAGCGAGTGAGTGCAGGGTTCTAGATGTGATACAAGTCGTAACAAGGTAGCTGTAGGAGAACCTGCAGCTGGATCACGCAGAACATGGATATTTTAGAGTTTGATTATTTATGCCCTGCGCAAGGGATCTTTTGGCTCGCTGTGCGACGAAGGGCGCGGCGGCAGGCGATATGTGCGGGAGCGGCAGCAGTGATCGCACGTGCCCGAAGCTGCAGTGCAGGACAACCCCTTGGAATTAAGCATATGAGTAGAGGGAGGAAAAGAAACTAACAAGGATTCCCGTAGTAGCGGCGAGCGAAGGGGGACGAGCCCGGAGTGTAATCGCCAGCGGCGAGATGTCATGAGAGCGCCGACAACCGACCTGGAACGGCGGGCCGCAGAGGGTGACAGCCCCGTGGATGCTCGGCGTGCGGAGTAGCGGTGTTTGGTAGTGCACCGTGAATGGGTGGCAGCGTCCATCCAAGGCTAAATACGGCAGCGAGACCGATAGTGGAGAAGTAGAGTGATCGAAGAAGGAATAGACTGAAAAGGTGAAATTGCGCAGGGAGCCGAGCGGCTCGGCCCCGTCTTGAAACACGGACCAAGGAGTGCACACGCGCGGCGAGTCGAAGGCGGAGGGCCGGCGGCGTAGCGAAGGCGGCGGAGACGCGCGGGTGCGACCCGATAGACTTGTGAACTATGCCTGGCGTCTGTGAAGGCTGACGAAAGACAGCTGGAGGCAGTGAGCCGTTCTGATGTGCAAATCGATGGCACGAGCTGGGCATAGGGGCGAAAGACCAAACGAACAGTCTGGTAGCTGGTTCCCCCCGAAATGTGTATAAGGACAGCGCGCGAGCAGAGAGAGGCCAGGTAGAGCAAAGGTCGCTTAGCTGCGGCGGCGAACGAACTGCGAATGGGCCTGGCGGCGCGTGCATTGCGACGCGCCGCGGACTTGGGCGAGCGTAGTGGGCGAGTTCTGGTAAGCAGGACTGGCGAAGAGGAATGAACCTGGCGGGGCGATAAGGCACCAAACGGCGCAGCAGAGACCGAAGGTTGTAGGTGAATGAGGACGATAGGGCGGTGGCCATGGAAGTCGGCATCCGGTAAGAAACGTGTTACAACGTACCTATGGAATTCAGCTGCTCCGAAAATTGACGGTGCTTATGCGTCGGCCGATGCGCACCTGGAGGTAGGGGGGCGCGCCGGGGCTGCAGAAGGCGTGCCGCGAGGCACGGTGGAGGCGCCGGCGGCGCAGATCTTGGTGGTAGTAGCGACAATTCGTCTGGGACGGCGAAGACCGAGGAGGAGAAGGTTTCCCCCACGATGTGCATCAGTGGGGGGTGAGCCGGTGCTGAGCGATGGCGCAGACGCCGGAGCGAAAGAGAAGCGGGGCGCTGTTCCCGCGCCGCCCTGCTGTGCGGCGACGCGCTTGCGGCTGCCGACGGGCGCGGCTGTGCGGTGCAGGGCATCCTTCCCTGCCGAACGCGCGCGCGTGCCTGGAGACGGGTCAGCCGGCGCACGGCACGCGCCGCCGCGGGCCTGCGGCCTCCGCAGACGCCGCGCCCCCGTGAAAAGGCAGCCGTGCCGGCAGGGCGACCGTACCGATAACCGCGACAGGTCTCCAAGGTGAGTAGCCTCTGGTGCATGTTGAACGCAGGTAAGGGAAGTCGGCAAAACAGATGCGTAACTTCGGGAGAAGTATTGGTTCTTACGGAACTCTTGGTGGCAGGGGGAATCTGACTGTTTAATAAAAACATAGCTTCGTGAACGAGAGACGAAGTGAGTTCTGCCCGGTGCTCGAACAGTGAAGGGTCGGAGACGGCTGTAAGCACGGGTTAACGGCGGGAGTAACTATGACTCTCTTAAGGTAGCCAAACGCCTCGTCACTTAAATGGTGACGCGCATGAATGGAATGACGCGATTCCCACTGTCCCTATCTGCAGACTAGCGAACCCACGGGCCAGGGGAACGGGCCTGGCACAGTCAGCGGGGAAAGAAGACCCTGTTGAGCTTGACTCTAGTGTGGCAGCGCGGCGGGGACAGTTGCGATGTAGGCAGGTGGGAGCATTGCGCAAGTGAAAGACCACTGCGCAACAGTCCCCGTCGCACACCCTTGCGGGGATGGATGCCAGATGGGGAGTTTGGCTGGGGCGGCACGGCTGCAGCACCGGAACGCAGCCGTCCGAAGGCACTTGCAGCGAGACGAGAACACCCGCGTGGAGCATAAGGGCTTTAGAGTGCTTGAGCACGGGCTGTGCGGCCCGTGTGCGGGGAAACCTCGGCCTAGTGATCCCACGACCACGAGACGGATCGTGGCGTGGGTGACAGAAAAGTTACCGCAGGGATAACTGGCTTGTGGCACCCGAGCGCAGAAAGCGACGGTGCTTTTTGATTCTTCGATGTCGGCTCTTCCTATCATGGCCATGCAGGAGTGGCGAAGTGTTGGATTGTTCACCCACAAACAGGGAACGTGAGCTGGGTTTAGACCGTCGTGAGACAGGTTAGTTTTATCCTACTGACTGCGCGCGAGGGGAGAGGGTAGTAGTACGAAAGGAAGGCCCCTCGAGACCACTGGCGGAGCGGTTGTGCGGATGCGCATGCTGCGGTGCTAAGTCTCCCCGAGCATAGCTGAACGCCTCTAAGCTAGAAGCGGGGCCCGAGCGCGGAGGGCGGGCGCGAAGACGACGCGCAGTGGATGATGGTGTTGTGCGGCATGAGCAGCGGAGCAATCCAGCGAGTGCTTGAGACTCCAGGCATCCCACCGCCGTTGT